CCGATTCTGAAAATTAAAATACCTTTGTTATGTCATTTATGACTTGTGTGCAAAATTTGAGGTCAATCAGAATTGAATTGATAGGTTTCGGCATCGAGTGTAGAAGTTGGAATTTGTTAGTTTTCGTTAAGCTTGAATTGGGGTGTGATTGGTGATTTTAGCATTATTTGATGTGATTTGAGGTTTAAACTAAGTTTGTATGATGTTTTAGGACTTGTTTGTGTGTTTGGTTGAGGTCCCGGGGGCCTGGGGTGAGTTTCGGATGGTTAACGGATCAAATTCAGACTTAGAAGAAACCTGGAAGTTTCTGCCTTCTGGTGCAATCGCACCTGCGGAACTATCCTCGCAGGTGTACTACCGCAAGTGCGGTTGGCAATGCGCAGAAGTGGATTTGGGCTTGGCCTGGGCTGCGTCGCAGATGTGTGAAAAATTCCGCATCTGCGAGCCAGGCTCCGCAGATACGGAGTGAGTGGGAGCAACCTTGGACCGCATAAGCGAGTCCGTAGAAGCACACTCCTTGTCCGTAGGTGCGATGGTCATTGCAGGAGCGAAGAAAAATCTCGCACCTATGAGACCGCAGGTGCGGCTAAGCTGGTCGCAGGTGCGAAAATCCCTGGTCAGAACAAAAACAAAAGGGTTCGAGAATTTTTGCCATTTTTGACATTTCCAAAATGGGAGAGGCGATTTTTGAGCGAGAATTCACGGAAAAACTTGAGGTAAGTCCTTTTGATCATTTTTACTCCTTAATATTGAATTATCATTAAATAATCTGACTAGATTACATATTTTTGAGGTGTAAATCTAGGATTTGAACCTAGAGATTTGAAAATAAGATTTGAGGATTTGAAGGTCGAGTTGAGGCCGGATTTTGGTAAAATTGATATGGTTAGACTCGTGGTTGAATGGGCTTTCGGATTTGATAACTTTTGTCCGATTTCGAGACGTGGGCTCCACGGACGATTTTTGGATGAAATTTCAGATTTTTATGGAAAATTTATATTTTCATATGAAATTAATTTCTATAATTTTTATTGACTGAATCACATTATTTGTGGCTAGATTCGAGGCATTTGGAGGCCGATTCATGAGACAAAGGCATTGTAGAATAAAGAATTATACGGTTTGAGGTAAGTAGTAGTTCTAAATTTGGTCCTGAGGGTATGAAACCCTGGATTATATGTTATGTGATTGGTTTTGAGGTGAAGCACATGCTAGGTGACGGGGGTGCACCGTAGAAATTGTGACTTGGTCAATTCCATGGAACTATGTAGTTGAATAATCTGTTGATATCCGTACATTTTTCACGCATTAGAGAAATCAAACTATAAATCATGTTTAAACAATGTGTTTACACTGTTGGGACCCACATAGGTCATGTACTTGTGGAATTATTTGCTAAATTATTGTTTTGTACTCAGTCACAAATTTATTCATACATTTCATCTCAGTCTCTATTGTTTATTATTGATGCATCATATCATTTCTGTTTGGGTCGCTTATCACGATTTCTGAGAGCCCGAGAGACTGGAGAGGTTGATGACTGAGTGAGGTCGAGGGCCTGATTGTGAGGATATTTATGGGATCGGGCTGCACGTCGCAGCATGTTTCATTGTTATATGCCATGATTGGCTTGTTATAGCGCTTGGGCTGAAGGAGCCCCTCCGGAGTTTGTATACACCCCCAGTGAGCGCAGGTACCTACTGAGTACGAGTGCTGAGTGATTGGGAGGAATGAGTGACTGTGAGGAAAAAGTGACTGTGAGGTTAGAGTGAATGGGAGGACTGGGTGACTGTTGCTCTGAAAGGATGCATTGATTTCATTATTGCTGCATTTCAGTAATCATATATCACTGTTTTGGAAATTTCTGAAAGACATTATCTTTTGTTTTAGTCAAAGTTGATATGAAATTACTGTGGAATTTTAAATGTTGAACATGAGAGCATGCCTACCCTTTTTTTAAAAAAAATTACTGTATTTGGACTTAGTTGTGAAGCTCGTCAATCCTCTCAGTTCTTATTTATTATTATTACTTACTGAGTTGGTTGTACTCATACTACACCCTGCACTTCGTGTGTAGATCCAAGTGATCCCAGACACAGTGGGTGTTGATTCTTTTGCACGGTTGATTTTTTGGAGATTCAGAGGTAGCTGCCGTATTTCGCAGACCTTGTCTCTCCTTCCATGTCTTCTTGTTTATTGTATTTGATCTCAGACTATTATAGACCGTGTTTTCCATACTTGTAATGTGTAGATGCTCATGCACTTAGTGACACCGGATTTTTGGGAGTGTATTTATATCCAGAATTTATGGAATTTTATCTTAAACTTAAATTATTATGTTTTCCGTATTTAAAAGAAATTATGGGTTATTGATGTTGTCGGCTTTCCTAGTATTGAGATAGGCACCATCATGACGGTTAGGATTTCGGGTCATGATACTGAGAATCATGAACTTAGCTAGTGACCTTAAGATGACAAGGAGGTATATAATGAGGTGGAAAAGAGATGTCCTATACTAAGTGATGATGAACCTTAAGAAAAGAAATTGGGTCCAGGCACCATTGAAATCTACTTAGTGATATGCCATGCATGTGTTAATGTAATAAGCTATGTTTATGCATGATGAGCATGACCATGAAGTATTCCAATGATCTGGGAACTTACGACCTTAACGGTAATATTAATCATGTCGCTTGAGTGTAAATAGGGCCATGTGTATAATGGTATAATATGTGAATCCTATGGACGGTCTATGAAACACATAGGTGTATAATATGAATGAATCCCTATGGACGGTCTATGAAATACATAGGTGTATAATATGAATGAATCCCTATGGACGATCTATGAAACGCATACGTGTATAATATGAATGAATCTTTATGGACAGTCTATGAAATGCATATGTGTATAATATGAATGAATCCCTATGGACGGTCTATAAAACGCATAGGTATATAATATGAATGAATCCATATGAACGGTATATGAAACGCATAGGTGTATAATATAAATGAATCTCTATGGACGGTCTATGAAACGCATATGTGTATAATATGAATGAATCCCTTTGGACGGTCTATGAAACACATAGGTGTATAATATGAATGAATCCCTATGGACGGTCTATGAAACGCATAGGTGTATAATATGAATTAATCCCTATGGACGGTCTATGAAACGCATAGGTGTATAATATGAATGAATCCCTATGGACGGTCTATGAAACACATAGGTGTATAATATGAATGAATCCCTATGGACAGTCTATGAAACGCATATGTGTATAATATGAATGAATCCCTATGGACGGTCTATGAAACATATAGGTGTATAATATGAATGAATCCCTGTGGACGGTCTATGAAATGCATAGGTGTATAATATGAATGAATCCCTATGAACGGTCTATGAAACGCATACGTGTGTAATATGAATGAAACCCTATGGATAGACTATGAAACGCATAGGTGTATACTATAATATATGAACCCTATAGACTGTCTAGTGAGACACATAGGCAACACGAACAATAGGTGCTGCTTCCATTGCCTTTGTTTGTACATGTTGGTATTTTTACATTATATTTTGTATCCCACGCATAGTTCATGGGGCACACTTGATCCTAAAAGGAGTTCTAAATGATGTAAGTATAATAAGACGTGTCATGTGATGTTATGGGTCATTTCGTAGTTTCTTGACGTAATTTATTTGTCTTTTATTTGATTACCGTATTTCCATATGATGTTCTATCTTCCTTACATACGAGTACTATTCCACATGTACTCACGTCCATTTTGGCGGAGGCGCTGCATCTTTTAATGGATGCAGGTGGTTCCATAGCATGCGGCATCGATCAGTGATTGCAGTACATCCTCCTCTCAGTTGACTTGGTAAGTCCCAGTTCATATCGGGGTCATGTATCTTTTTTGTTTCTCATGTATTGTGTTTTGAGGTATAGCCGGGGCCTTGTTGCCGGCACTATCCTAGTACTCTTTTGTACCCTTTAGAGGCTCCGTAGATATGGTGTGGATTGTATGCTAGTATTGGGAAGGTCAAACTAATGATGTTGTAATTGTATCACGTGTTCCACTTTTAAACTACGGATGTGTAATGTAATATTTTGGGGACTTATAAATGAAGTAGCTAATAGTAATGGATTGGTGTGGTATACATGATCTCCTTGTTGTCTAATTAATGAAAATACATCTTCTCATTATTCATGGGTGAGTTTGGATAGAAGGAAATCTAGCATACTTACTCGGCAGGGTTATCCCGGTTGAGCACCGGTCGCGCTCCATGAGGTCGGGACGTGACATACAAGTGTCATTTAGGCTATTCTGCCTATAGTTTATAATGCCTAATAATGGTTAGAATATATCGAAGAAAAAACATGTTACTGTATGTATCTTATTTCAAATTGAACATAGTACATTAGAAGAAAACATCATCATTCATCACTAATTAGATTATCGGTTTGCTCCCCCTCCCCCGTATATTTAGTTAATACTATTTTTTTTGAAATTCAATAAGTATTACTTATAGTGCATGACAAGTTGACAATCTAGTGCATTGTAATACTCTCTTTATTCCAATTTATGTGAACCTATTTGATTGAGCATATAGTTTAAGAGAATTTTTTTTTTAACTTTGTGGTATAAAACAAGGCACATAATTACTTTTGTCATTAACTTCTAAAATGACAAATAGTTTGAGTCAACTATATTTAGTAATCATGACACATAATTTGAGACAGAGGGAGTAAATTATTTTTAAATATAAAAAGAGATCATTTTTTTTGACACGGACTAAAAAAAAAATAAGTTCACATAAATTTAAATGAGGGAATACAATAAAATAGCATGTTGTAAAATAAAAAAGAAAAAGAAAAAAGAACGGTCTTAAATGAGGCTAAAAGTTAAAAGTGAGAGGCCACATACGTAATACTCTCATATTTCAAAGGGTTAACTACAAATAACTTTGCAAGAGAAGGCCCAGGCAGAAAAAAATACACTCCTAAAAAATAAGGAGCGGAAAGAGCCGCAGATCGTATGACACTTCAAATTGAATGTGCCTCTGCCCCTAATTTGGGGATAGGCCTAAGTTAGGGTTTCTACAGATCTCAGCAACCAAAAGTCAACAAGTTAATTCTTTTCAAACTCCTATTGGGTTTAGGATTTTGGAGTTTTTCTTATTCTTGGTTTATTGATAGAATTAGGGTATAATTGTTTGTGTTCTCAGTGATTTGTTTGTTAAGGCAAATATTAGTGGGCTATCTGAGCTGCCAATGCAAATTGAATTGAAATCTGAGAATTTTTCGGTTGTTTTTGGAATACCGAAAAAGTTAAAGGTGTAAAGTTCATCAATGTCTTGGGCAAGTCCAGAAGATATCTATCTCTCTACTTCTCTTGCAAGCTATCTTGACAGTGAGTTTTTTTTTATCAACGATCTATTTCCTGCCGTGATTAAGCTGTTTATGTTATTAAAGTTTTGTACTTGTTGTTTGTGTTCAAAATTTGCTCTTGCTAAATTTTGCTGATGTTCTTGCTATGTTCTTTTAGGATGTTTAATAGTATTCGATTGTTACTGTTAGCGGAAACGTAAAAGAAAGAACACAAGATTTAACGTGGTTCAGATCAAAATAATCCTACGTCCACCANCCCCCCCCCCCCCTTTTTTTATCAACTCTATATTCCGTGCCGCGATTAAGCTGTTTATGTTATTAAAGATTTGTACTTGTTGTTTGTGTTCAAAATTTGGTCTTGCTAAATTTTGCTGCTGATCTTGCTTGGGTTTTTTAGGCTGTTTAATATTCGATTGTTACTCTTTGATAAAGTTATTGATGAGCGTTCACAATGAGAAACTACACCAGATTTTCGCTGGTGGGTATAGCTGGTTTGCTCACTCCATAGATTTTTAAGCCTTCAAAAGTCTCCATCATGCAAACTTGCTTTGCTAAGCCATCTTCAACTACATTGCCTTAACTTGTCGATGTGCTTTATGGGCGATGTCCTGTGTATACTTACTATAATGACCAAAGTGCAGATTCTTCTATGCTTGAGAAGATGATATATTGTGAGGGAAGTGGGTTACTCAGTAATTTCCTTCTTTAAGGTAGAAGAGGTCTTCTCTACTGTTGCATCAAAGGCCACAAAAAGTATATAATGGTTTGTGTTTCTCCCCGTATTGAAAACTCAATGAAAGCCTTGATGACTGAAGATAAAGGGAAGTTGCACTCAAGCACTCGATTATACAAGGGGCTTGGGCTTGAGTTCCTGCCTTACTCAACAAATGCCTTTCTTAGTAAGGATTGTTGAGTGTATTCTTGACATTTGTGCAACTTTTGGAAATATGTGGTTTGCAATATGATTTTTCCTTATAAAAAAGATGACTTTTCGCACCCAAAGGTGTGAACTAGCGGTCAATGAAGTGGGTGCAAACCATGGAGACTAGGGTTCAAAATCCAGCAAAGGCAAAAAATACTACTCCCTCTTTTCAATTTAGGTGAGGTAGTTTTCTCGACACGGAGTTTAAGAAAGAAAAAGAAGATTTTTGAAACTCGTGGTCTTAAAAGCTTAAGAGGTAAAAGCTTTGTGGGGCCATGACATTTGTATGGTTATAAAAGCTTTTCATTAAGGGTAAAATGAGTAAAATGTAGAGTTTAAAGTTGAATCATTCTTTTTAGAACGCACTACTAAGAAAAGTGTGTCATCTAAATTGAAACAGAGGTAGTAGGTGATTTCTTCCCATCTGCCTAAGCCGAGGTGGACAGGATTACCCGACACCTGCATTTGTGAGGGGTTAAGATGTGCCCAATGGAGTAGTCGAAGTGTGTGCTAGTTGGCCCGGACACTACTTTTATAAAAAAATGATTTTCACCCTTTTTCTTCTATTCCCGCATCCCGTCGTGGCTGCTTGAATGGTAGAAACCACGATTAGTACAGGTACATCATATGTGTGGTCCATATACTTTGTAGAAGAAGCTATGGTGCTCTACTTATTCTGTCTTTGAGGCATATCTCTGTAAAGTGAAAACTGAAGGATTATTATATTTCACTCTTGACTCTTGAGCGATTAGTTAATGGATGGAATGCAAGAGTTAATGCTATAATACTTGGGGTGCCAGTTCATAAGAAAAATAAATGGGGTGCCAAATTTTTGTATATAAGTCCAAGTGCTCATATATTAATAGCATTAACCAAACCTGTATATAGATTCATTAGTTTTATGTCTTGCTTTTCTGAATTGACTTAATATCATTCACAGAGAAACTTCTTGTACTGCTGCGAGATGGGCGGAAGCTTTTAGGAACACTTCGTTCTTTTGACCAATTTGGTAGGTTTCTCGTGTCATTACTTTCTATTTCACAACAGTGGTTACAGCTGACAAAAATTTCATCTGTTATTTGTAGCTAATGCTGTTCTTGAAGGTGCATGTGACCGTGTTATTGTTGGTGATCTATATTGTGATATCCCATTAGGTCTTTATATTATACGTGGGGAAAATGTTGTGTTAATTGGTGAACTGGTAGGTCTTGTTTTCTCCATCATACAGAAAGGTTCTTGCTATCCCATAACCCTATACCCTTTGGCTTATAAAATGTTGTTATGGCTGGTCAGGACGTAGATAAGGAGGAACTTCCACCTCACATGACACGTGTTTCAGAAGCTGAAATAAGAAGGGTAAGATCCTGTTATTATTAGTTTCATGACTAGCGATGCTTAATAGACTTGTGTCAGGCACATGACTTGTGAAGTTTGGGGTTTGGGGCAACTTTATATAGGAAAAAGACTAAATGTGAAAATTGGTGATGATTTAGTTGGAAGAACAAATATTGAAGGTATTTTGTGAAATTCTGAAGAAAAGCTAGTAATCTTCCTTAATAGTATCTTTGTTGTATATAACTTATATCTTTGTGTCTATGTTTTTATAATTATTTTAGACTAACATTTCCATCTTTCTATTTTTATACATCTGTTCTTTCAAGTGCAAAATCATGTTTAAGATGAGGCTAATCGTCTTAAGTGATGGTTGACCAATTTAGTTTTAGATAAGACAAGATGCTGTTAATTAGTGTAAGACTATTTCTAATGTATATATCACATATCCATCAGGCGCAGAAAGCAGAAAGGGATGCTACAGATCTTAAAGGCACAATGAGAAAGAGGATGGAATTCCTTGATATGGATTGAGGTTTCTTATTTCTTGTGTTGGATTCTGCTTGGGATTGTTCCATGCCTTCTGCAAATATTATCGTGGTTGCTGCGTGGTTTCCTGGGATTCCTCTCTTCTCTTGGGCTGTGCTCTCGGATACATGAAGTGTTCTTTGTAACATCTGCACTATTATTGGATTTTTCATTTGTGGTTATATGTTTGAAGGTTGCCCATCTCCATATCTAATGGCATGAACTGGTATTATACCTGGTGATATGGGAAATGGCGGGCCATAAAAATGGTAAAACAAATCGTGAGTTCTTCCGTTTGCTTTTTTATGCTAGTCTGGAGGAACTTTAGTTTTTATGGTAGACCACTAGAACGTACATGTTGTGAGATTGGCATATTGGCATTTACCTTTTCAGAAAACAATTACTCCTATGTAGCTTTGTTAATCGCGTGTGCTATTGTAATTTAGCATTGTTCAAATCTTAATACGCTTAATTTTTAGGTAATTGGTGGTTTATACCCTTTTGGCACGATCAACTTTGTGGTACATACGTCTTAAATCAATACTTAGGGGTCGTTTGCTATGCGGGATAAGATGGGATAAAGTATGGTACTAAATTTATATCATGTTTAGTTGGCATAAATTTATTTCGGGATAAAATTATATTGCCAACTAAACATGGTATAAATTTAGTCCCAGACTTAATTCTGAATATTTCACCTTATCCCATCAGATTTGGTATTATTTTATCTCATCTCCTAGGTGGGATAAATTAATTTAAGAATTATAATTTCAAGACTATAATTTCAGGATAATTTAGTCCGCGACCAAACGACCCCTCAAAGAGTTGTCCTCATTCTGAACTTGACAGCGCCGACATCGACTTTATATTTTTTAAACTAAAATAAAATGTACCTAGTAAAATGGAATACGTGACAAATTTGAGAAATCGGTGTCATCTGTCCTCCAATCAAGCTACTTATGGAGTATTAATTTTAAAGTATGATAAGTAAAATGGTTTTTAAAGTGTTTTATTTTTATTTTATTTTATTTGGCATGATAATAATATATTAAACTTAATAAGTAAAAGAAGTGATAACTCATATATTATGTAGTTGTTGTTATTTTTATTTAAGAAGTAAAGAAGACTTTAAATCTTTGTGGTCTTAAGCTAAATTATAGCATGTAATAATCAAAATGTGTTTGAATCTTGTGGTATTAAATATCGTATGTGAAAAAGTAGAGTTAAAGAGTTACTTTCTTTGGTGCACTTTAATTGATTTTTTTGATTTTTTTTGTGGTCCATAATATTTGATTTTTTAAAATATCACTAAGGTATTAACTTCTTTTTTCCAAAGTTGTCCAGAAAGTAAAGAGTCTAGGTGTATTTGTTATATTTTTAATAAAATAATTAAGGTTAATATGATCAATTTTATTGTTAATTCATACTAAAAGATAAAAATTATTAATATATGTGGCAATAGCCAAACAATCAATTAAATTGGACAAAGTAGTAAATATTCTTTTTGAAAAGACTAAATATTGAACAGAATTATTAATCTTTGTTAAACGATTCTTTGACTTCAACGAGGGAGTGATACGTAGTCGTTAGTGGGTCCATTCTCTCTCTCTCTCTCTCTCTCTCTCTCTCTCTCTCTCTCTCTCTTCGGTGGCGGGTCTTCTACTTCCTCCAGATCTACTCTCACTTACTTTCTCCACACTGAGCTGAGCTGAGTTGATCTCTCAATTGGGCAAATGCGGTGGTTGAAGTCAGCTGGAGCTTCAGGAGTAATCCTGCTGTGGTTATGTTTGTTCCGTTTCACAGAAGCTTCAGTGCATGACTACAATGGGGAGAAATTCGTGAGCAAAGGCAATGCATTTGTTGTCCACGGCGGCAGCGAAGGAATTTACGCCTCTACTCCTAACTTCACTGATTCTCCTTCCTCTGACTCTTTCATTCGGTAATCACTCTCTCCAGAATGCAATATATCCAGATCTGTATGAAAATTGTTAATTCCATACTCCAGAATTAATATTTGTTGTTTAATTTCGAGGATCAAATTTAATCAATTTATCCTTTTTACTAAGTATTTAGAAGTAAAGTTCTGCTTAATTCGGATTTGTGTTGTGACATTCACTCTATGTCGAATATATCGATCAGAAAAGCTTACAATCTACTGCTATTATTAAAGCTAAAATATCCTTTGGATTTCTCTAAAAGCATACCTAGTTCAGCCATCAATGTTGAATTATCCTTCTTAATTCACAGCTTATGAATGGAATCTATAGTTGGATGAAAGAAGATAAGTGAATTGTGCTGTCTCGCTATATTAAGTAGTTCGTACTCAGTTTGGGCCAAATGAAGCCAGATGATATAGAGGATTCGTATAGATGATCCAAAGTTCTGTTGATCCATTAACTTTTGTGTTTTCCCAAATTATGTTCAATGGCATCTAATGAGCTTTATTTTGCTTCTATGAATTTTCTGATTCATGCCAGACTTTGGAAATGAATATGACGGTTCATGTTTCTATCCAGTTTTGTGCGCAGGAGTATGTAAATTTCTGAACTTTTTCATTTTCAACAGGTTTGAAAAGATTGTATTTCGGAGGCCAAAAGAATTGTCAAACTTTAGTTCAGACCCAATTCATGCAATTGTTTTTGAGGTCGATGATCGAGAGTCAATTGGGGGCTCAGCCTACGGTGGCCAAAGAGCTGTTTGTTGCACAGCAGATCTTGCAAAACTTGGAGTTTGTACACAAGGGCAAATTATTTACCGCCCATCTGCTAATAATCTCGGATGGCCTAAAGTTTTTAGTGCCTCATTCAGCACTGATGAGGTTGAAGTAGCACTGCAGTCAAGATCGGTCCCCATTACAAAAACTGGGATGTATAATGTGTATTTTATTCACTGTGAACCATATCTTAAGGATATTACTGTTGAAGGGAAAACCATATGGAAGAATCCTACTGGTTACCTACCTGGTAGAATGGCCCCCCTTATGAACTTCTATGGTTTCATGTCTCTTGCATTCGTGTTACTTGGGATCTTTTGGTTTTCGCAGTATGCAAGATTCTGGAGAGAAGTTATTCCTCTACAAAATTGTATTACACTCGTGATAACATTGGGCATGCTTGAAATGGCCTTTTGGTACTTTGACTATGCTGAATTCAATGAAACTGGAGTCAGGCCCACTGGTACCACTGTATGGGCTGTGACCTTTGGTACAGTAAAGCGCACAGTTTCACGTTTGGTCATTCTGATGGTCTCTATGGGCTTTGGTGTCGTTAGACCTACTTTAGGTGGTCTCACATCGAAGGTCCTTTTGCTTGGAGGAACTTTCTTTTTGGCTTCTGAAGTGCTTGAACTGGTAGAAAATGTTGGTGCAGTCAGTGATTTCTCAGGAAAAGCAAGGATATTTTTCGTACTTCCTGTGGCATTCTTGGATGCTTTCTTTATCCTTTGGATATTCACCTCCCTGTCAGCAACTTTGAATAAGCTTCAGGTACATTGGTGACTTCTGTTTATCACTTTGATTCCGTTTGCATGCCAATTGCTAGGTTAGAAAAGGCTTTTGTTTCTGGACTTCTTACTTGCTTCAGGTCTTATTGCATGAGCAAAGATCTATAGGTGATAGGAATTCACATTCTCATCGTATGGGTTCATGTTAAAACACTTGTGGCTATTAAGCTAAGTAGCTCTACGTTATGTTAAATATTATTGCAATCATGAAGTTTGTTAAAAAAGATGTGCTGGTGACTTTTTGGTCGGTGTAGGTTTATTTGATTAAAATACGAAAAATAATTAGCTGAGTGCTGCATGTTTTGGTTCGTAAAGCAATCCCTTCACTGTGTATCTACGTATGCATGGTGAATGATACGCTGGTCTGCGGCTGATTCTTGCAATAAAGGAAGGCTTTTTCTTTTCATTATCTTGGAGCGTTTGAGATTGGGGTTGATCATGATATGACGTCATTCAATTATTACTATCATTCAATTTAGGCTCCATTAGTCCTAATTCAGTTGTGGATTTGGGATCTGACAGGCTAGAAGGTTGTTGGCCAAATTAGACATTTACCGGAAGTTCACAAATGCATTGGTCGTCGCTGTTATTGTATCTGTTGGATGGACGTGCTACGAGGTAATTTTCAATTTCTACAAGATGAGGCTGGTTCTTTCATTTAGTTTCTGTTGTCAAGTATCGTTGTTGCCCGTTCCTAGCTCGTGTTCTTTCAGAAAAGAGCCCACTGCTGACACACTCGGATCATCTTTTCCAATAGTTCGACTTAAGTGCAAACAATTTCTGAGGGCCATCGGACTGGGTAAAACCTGAATTAACCGTGGTGTACTTGCGGGAAACTCCTTGCCGAGGGCCTGTGCACCCCCGGGATTAGTCGGGACTCAAAGAGACTTGGACACCCGGTGCAAATCAAAAAAAAAAAAAAAAAAAAAAAAAAGGGAAGGGGGTTAAGGACCTTATTGTCAACTGGTCTGCTTGATGTGAACAGGACCACTTTTGCAGAATTATGAAATACCAAACAGAGAAACATGTCTAATCCACCAAATTTGGGGAGCAATTTATTCCTCTGGAGAGGGGACCTAAATTTCCAATAAATTTGGAAAGTACAAGCATAATTAGGCCAAGTAAATGTGTCAAAGCATTATAAATGAAAATTTTGTTTTTCCCCTGAATTCTTCTTTGGCTAGTTTAGAAAGAAACTTCGACAAGCTATAGAGTCTTTAGTTTGCCATTTCCCTCAAGGCCTCAACTCAATTTAAGTTGGACTTGGGTTGTGGCACTCCATGTGGTACCTTCAAGAGAAAGGACACCTACTAGAAACTGAGTGTAATCAGTCTTATATTCTTCCGACTACATCAGACATAGGTTTCTTAAGTTTCACAACTGTTTCCTATTATTGTATTATAGCACAAAGCATTAACCATTTTTTCCCCTTTTGGCAGCTATACTTCAAGTCCACTGATGTGTACAATGAGCGATGGCAAAATGCCTGGATTATTCCTGCCTTCTGGCAAGTGCTATCTTTCTCTCTCCTTTGCATAATCTGCGCTCTTTGGGCACCATCTCAAAACTCCATGAGGTATTACCCTGCTTCCACCTTATTATGCGTGTATATGCATTTTACAGAGTTCTCACAGCCTGATAGTAGAAGAATTATGATAAAAACTCTTGATGCACTATTGTTACACTGTCATTTCATCATATCTGCCTTTGAACAGGGTATCCATGCCAAATGTTGACTTAAGTAGATTGTTATTTGGTGCTGAATATTTTGGGTTTCTTAGAAACCAGAAAATGGGATCCAAACCTTCATTTGTTATCGTTTCCTGTACTTGGAAAACTTTCAAACTGAAAGATCCTGAATCATTCTGTTCGAACCATCGCACGTCATCTCTTTGTTTTCCTCAAAATATCAAAAGGGCGAGTCTTTATCATGATAAAAGTTGGCCTTACAATGGGACCTAATGCAGGAAATATTCGTTTTTTCTGTTGTTATAATCTCATTGGTTTATTTTATACGCGTACATAACAGATATGCCTACTCCGATGATGGGGAAGAGTTCGACAAGGACGTTACATTGACGCTCATAAAGCCCTCCCCTCTGCCAAAGGATGTCAGAAGCCAACCTGAAGTGAGGCCAACACTGGGTAACGATGGGTTACCTGATGGTGATGAGGTAGAAGACAAGACAGAGTAAAGCAAGACAATTCTTTTTATAGTATGATAAAGAGAGGTGCCATGAATTGAGTAAATTGTTGTTAGAATCTTGTAGTCCGTGTTGTCTGTATAAAAAGTACGAAGGTTAATCAGGAGAAGGCAATAGGTAAGACAAATTTGTATTGTTGTTTTTCAAAAGTAATGTTCGTTTATCTTATAAGATGTTACATCATCGAAGAATTAATTACAGAATGGCTTTATCTCTCTTGCCACTCTTGTTATATTTATTGGCTTTATTTGTCTCAACCATTTGGAACTTCAATACTCCATTCTTGATCTCCCTTTCCTTTTTGCATAAGCTCTCCCCGTTTATCAGAAGAAATGGCTTCAATAAATTGGAAATTTCATTTACGGTCGACGTTTAGCGGGTCCCTGGTTTAAAAAATCAACAGACATATTCAAGGACCTGTTCATTGTCCAATTCAATTCTAAAATATAAATCTTCGATGTTGATTTTGACTCGGAATTTGCTAGTTGATATTGAGCCTTGACAGTCTGTTTTTGCATCTTTTATTGCTTGGTAACATGACTACGTAGCAATGATATGTCAACAAATCAGCTATTGTTTCTCATTGGAGTCCCAAACCCAGTTGTATCCCTACGATTCCATATTCTCTCTATAACAGCCTCGTTTGTTTCGAATTATTTTGGCTGCTATAGTGAAGTGCTGATATAGAGGACATATATTATAACATAACATAAGAATCGGTTCCGAGAAAAACATGGCTTTTATAGTGAATGATTGTTATATAGAGATATTGTTATAGAGATGTCTGACTGTACTCCCGAATTCACGTACAGCGGATAGCCTTCAGTTTTTCACTTTATATTAGCACTTGTTTTTGCTACCCAAAGTTGGCATAATTTTTCTTTAGTGGCATTCGTTATTGATTTTAGGTAATCATGCAAAACCTCTTCAGGAGTAGCAGATATCGATACAAATTTATTTATTTATTGACTCTTTTATTTTTAAACATTTGCAACAATTTTGTTTTAGCGTGAAAGAACTGAGAGAATAGTTATAAGACCTAACAATGTTATACAATGATCTAGTTAATGTTGAACGGCTAAAGTCCAAACACATCCACAAGATGAGTGTCGCAGAAATATAAATGTTAAGATGGATGTGCAGTCATACAAGATTAAACAAAATAAGAAAATGACCGCATTGGCCAGAAAGTGCAAGTAGCACACAATCATGTGAGATGGTTTAGTTATGTCATGTGTTGACCTCTAGTTACACTAATTTGTAGGTGTGAAAATGAATATGTTAAAAGAGAACGAGATAGACCTAAAATCACACGGGACGAAGTTATCTCAAAGGACCCAACAATCTCTTGGAATCCATGGAAGAAAAAGATCTTTATAGGCAAGATCAACTAGTTGGGAATATGTTTACTTAACTGATCCTTTTTTCCCCTCCTTTGGGTCCATTGTGACCTTTGGAGCTCATTCAATAATGGAACACATAGGCTCTTTTCGAAACTGACAAATAAGGACCACGAGAATTGAAAAGGAGGAATAGAGGTCAGATAGATGGCAGATGAAGCATCACACTAGTTGAACTTCCAAATTTAAATATCCAGTTCCCCTGGGTTGAAAAAGACACTATTAGGTCGTCTATCACTTTTAAATCCAAGTCAGAGGAATAGGCAACATCCACACTCAACGTTCCTATTTTCTGTTGAGACAGAAGAATGAACATGGCACAAGAATTATTGGTTTAAAGGATCTTGCATCGTAACTCATCATAAATGGGAAGGGCCAGTTTACAATGTACTTTAAAGAGGCAATACCAGCTAAAGTGGTAAAGATAGAAAATGGATCTTGGTCTAACAGATACTTTAGAGTAATCTACAAATGACTTTTGCACAGATTCAAAATTGAACACCTTTGTCAGTAAATATCCTACACTTTCTGCAATTAGGTAAGAAAAGAGGGAGATTTCTACTTGGACACAGATTACCACATTCGAGAATACACAAGAATTCGAGATCCTATTTGGATCCAACAGGCAAGCATGGGAAATGAATAGCTAAACCCTAAATGTGAGGTATTAACAATCACACTAACTCGAAGAGGGCAGAAAATGTCTTGTATCTCCACAAAAAGATTGTGTAACCTTGACTTTGTCCTTTTTTCTTTATGTAATTACGTTATGTTATGTAAACTGATACTCCTCTGTTTCAATTTATGTGAATCCATTTGACCGGGCACGGATTTTAAGGAAAGATAGAAGACTTTTGAATTTGTGGTGTAAAATGAGGCACATATAATTTGTATGGTCATAAATCATTGCATAAAGATAAATTGTTTCCAAATAAGGAAAGAGATCATTCTTTTTGGCACAGACTAGAAAGGAAATAAGTTCACATAAATTGAAACAGAGTGAGTAATTAGAAACAGGGATACATGGTGAGTGAAGAGGTAGCAGGAAGATTGTAACAAAGGAAGATACACCTTCTAAGTTCTGCTGTCAGATGCAGTAGACTTCAAAGTTTCAAACAGAGGGCACATAGAGATGAAACATTCGGAGGACAAGAAACAAGGGTTGCATGAATCTGCTGCACTAAATCTACCGGATTAGTCAGATGCTCCTTGAGGCTAGTAAGCACAAATTAGCCACTTCCATTATTACTGCGAAGCAAATGGGAGAGTTCAATTTCTTTTCTTTCTTTTTTTGGGAAAAGGTACGGTAATGTTATAGTATATAAATAAGCACAGAGGATGTGCTGCAACATCTGAACAGTACTTGCAGAAGCAAATACAGCAAAAGTATGCCCCTTCTATTCTAATCTTCATGGCTGAGTTCAATTTCTAGCTTACAAGAACAGCATTCATGATACATGTCCAGTTCAAGCATTCCACGATTGAGAAAATCATGTCAATAAAACTAATTAGTATTAGCTTATCCAAAAACAGCATACTAAGCACCAATGCACCAGTCGTCTTAGCTGGGAAAACAAAATAAGTATTAACAAAACATTTCGAGGAATCAGCACGCCCATATATCAAGCAGTAGACAACTAGTCATGCCCCACGAGTTTTCAGTGCAATGATTGAAAATTCATGGAGAATTCTTTCACGTCACTGAGAAAGACTTGCAAACAATAAGAAGAAAGCAGGAAGCAAATATGCTAAATTTCAAATCTTCGAATTCTTAAGACCCGTGGTTTTATTTATCTTTGTGTCATCCTCCAAAGCTCTTGCCTTCATAGGAAGTTCAATCACATTCTTGATTTAGGAAAGGACATCCCTAAGAAAAACATCTCTTATAGTGTAAAGTCATCGAGACTGAACTAAATTCTGGACTCAAGTTAATGAAATCATGATTATGATAAAATTTTCAAGAAAGTGAACCAATACAACAATTCAGATATGGACAAATTAAGATAAAATCTAAAGTATGGAAGAAATACAACAACACCATGCTTACAGGCCAGAGCATCCAGAGGCTGGAGGCACTGACCCTTCTTGATAGATACAGCTGATCTTTCCGAAGTTTTCAGCAGCGCGTCACGCTGGAATACTACAAACGAATGCACAAACTCGAGAAACACCAGANTCGAGAAACACCAAAATGTCAGAACCTCAGCCCCTGAATGACTCCATGAAAAAATTCAAAAGAATGTCCTAAAGTACTAAATGGTGAAACTTGTATTCTTTCACTGAGATCTTCTCCGCAAGTGCTGTGATACAGCGTACCCCTCAAAGAAATCCAAGACAGCATTCTCTAAATCCTCCACAGAATACTTTATGTAATTTTCCGGATGCCTCCCACTTTCTATATGGCTCCTGAACCGTCCAAGAAACGATCTATATGCTGGGATTAACTTTTCGGATATGGAAATTTGCAGCTCCTCCTTGAGCTGTGTATCTGGTATCAACCACACGGACTGAGTCCTGTGAACCTCTTCAAACAAGGCGTTGAATGCCTTAAACCTCTCTCTCAATGCACTCTTGGACACCCCGGATGAAAAACTTCCACTCACGTGTAATCCCTCATCTCTCAAACAATGCAAAACCCTCACCCAAGTTGCTCTCTGGTAATTAACAGCAGCTTGCCTGAATTTCCCAGTTAACTTCCTCAAGTAATCATCCCCAATCATGTCCCTTAACTCAGGTGATCCTTTAATCTTCTCAACAATATAATGGACATTATTCATCATAAACAAATGAGCCAAAGAGGTATCCTTATAGTGCTTAGACTTACCATCCAAATTGAACTGCAAAATGACAATAATCCAAATCAAATGAAGAGCCAACGGGGTTTGCCCTTCTAGCTCACTAAAATCCATATCAGGTGTATTAGGATCACTCGAATACCTTGATCCCGTTGAAGGCTTTGAAACAATCAATTCAACCATCGTCTGCTTATAATCCGAGATTAAACTTATATAGTTCATGACATACCTAGTCAAGGGATGAATTGTCCCTCCGGGGACAGGAACCCTAGAAGGTTCACGAAGCACTGCATTCTCAAATTCCGATAATATCCCTCTAGCAGCCTCCCCTAACCTAGACAATATCTCTACTGACTGAACTCTAATCGACTCTGAAGATTTTGACTCGAAAACAATTTCAATATCAGTTAATAAACCCGATAAAGCATCATGAAGATCTAATATCTTAAACAACTTTTCAGGCGATCGCCTGCTAATGCTAATGGCTTCGGCAAAATTGAACAGCTGAATAGCTGGACCTTTAATAGTCTCCATAAAGCAAGCATCATCCGTCGCCGTCCCCAAACCTTCAAAGATTTGCTCACAGAGCTTCTTCTCGCTAGCGAAAAGTATGCGAACGCATACTTTTGCTGCTCGTATCCATCTACGAATCTTTGCTTCGAGAGTCTCCCAATCAAGTCTCTGTATATCTCCTATGCTCAGCTTCTCTATTCCAAGCTTCCGGAAGCTCGAGTCTACAGCAGACTTGCGTACACTGCCATACACCTGAATACACTCCCGGAGATATCCAGCTGAAATCATACGCTCCGCGATACACCGGAGATCGTCTATTGCTTCTGAAGGCATGAGATCGACCTCACGGATGCTGTTAGTAGATCGGTAACTGCTGCTGGTGCTACTCCCTTGTTTTTCCAGCTCTTTGCTGAACGAATCATCGTCGCCGGCGCGTGGAGTATCGCGGCAGTCTTCTTCTGAAACACTTGGATCAGTTAATGATTCGGCTTCGATTGCGTTTGTGTGAGCGATGAGTATGTTACGGAACTCGTCCTCGAGACGAGCCATGGCGATCTGGATCGCGGTGTTGGCTTTATCGTGGTCGTCGGAGACGGAGAGTGTGGTGGACTCCATTGACCGTTGGATTTCATCAACGGCTTGTAAATAGCGATCGATCTCGCGACGATCGCCGTTGAATATCATCTTCTCTCTAGCTTCTTCAGATACCGTTGAATCCCACCGGAGAATTATCTTCTCAGCTGACTCAAATGCAACGGCGTCGTTTTTTTCAGGTGATTCCATGGATGGATAATTCTAAATTTTTGAAATTCAGAATCTGAAAAAAGAAACAAAAAGGGATTCGAGCTTTTGGTGAAGAAGATGCAGACCTATTAATGATGATTGAAGAATCAAAAATGGATGCGCATTGAATTTTGCATACTCCGTACGTATTAATTTATCAATTTTAGCAGTGGTAATAATACAGTGCTAAGAAAAAAAAAAGTACAGTATTGAGAAGATTACTGTAGTTAGTATCGTTTCTGTTTGTCCGGTGAAAAGTTAATTTGTCTCAATTTAGACTCAACTTGACTTCCCCACGAACGAATCTATGAAAATTCCAATAGTTGAGACTTAATTTTTTAATTTACTTTTTATTATCTAACTTAATACTCCTAGTAGTATGGTTAGACATTTATTTTTATTTGTTATTTTTTCTCTATAAAAAGATAATTTGGTGCATAAAATATTTTTGCGTTTACTCAGGATCTGAAAAAGTGTCGCAATCCCTAGATATTTTATCGTGATGCAAGTATCATTGGCGATTTCACAGCTCGAACTCTTGATTTGTAGAACTCTCAAAGACAAATTCAATTGCTGCTCCAAAAATATTATTTTTCTGGATAATGGATAAATTTTTATTTGAAGTTATAGTACAACGGATTAATTTTATAAATATGAATGTTATCGATTTTACATAGCAGAAGTAAAAAAAAAAATAAATAAATAAAAAATAAAATAAAAAAGTTTGCAGCAAACCATTAATTATAAGTATAATGGGCATGTAAGAGGAAGAAAGTGAAACAAAAGGAAAATTTTGAGTTTATTAAGTTGTCAATAAGTTGAAAATTTCCAAATTTTAGTAATAATAATTAAGTTATTCCTATAACATACATTACACTCTTGTTGACCAACTTTTGAAAATCTGAAAAGGTAGTAATCGGTTGACTACAATATACACGAATTAACAGCTAGTATTTCAATGTGTTATTTTGAAAAAGTTGTGGAGCTAGATATATATGACTAATTTTGAGATTAACAAGCTCAAGTTGGGTGCATTTTGTACAATTAGTGCGATGAAGAGTAAAGGCGTGAATGAAGGGGAAAAGCATACATTCCTATTAAGTTTTAACTTAAATCCTTAACCTAATTGATTACCAATACAAGGCAAGACACGTAGAAAGGCAACAGCAAAACTTAATTAATGAGATCAGTAAACGAATGATAGAATTTAATGAAGTCAACTTACTGTGTGGCATTCACGTGCGTGCATGCTTGCACGTACACAATTCTTCCACATAAAAACAATATATTCAGTAAATAATTTCAGACAATAATACATTCAGCTATGGATTCAGACAATAACATAAAACCTAGTGTTTGAAATTTATATATATGTTCGAAAAAATAAGTATATAATATATAATGCATTGAATAGTAAGATCATCTCATTTGAACAACATGAGATTTATCTATGAGTTAAAAGGTTTGGCATAACCTAATATTTCAAACTAATAGAAATCAATTTCTCAATAATATATGACAATTAAACTCAAACTCAAGATACTTGTCAGCTTCGATACCATGTTGAATTTTGTGTTATAATTTTAGTTACATAATTATGCCAGCAATACGTCAAAATTCTGAATCCGCTATTGATTTTGAACCGTACATACGCATAATGGAATGACTGAGTGAGACAATAATGAAAGCTGGAATTCAAATTTTGTATGTGTGAAATGCAAGCAATATTATTTCAATACATTTGAAAGTGTAAAAAAGGAGGAATCTAGCTTGTTTTGTGCTTCCTTTCTTCCTCCATTAAATGATCCAAATTATGTGTGCAACAAAAGCTGTTTCATAGCTGGCAAACAATCTAGCAAAGCAAGTCAGGAACACACGAGTGCTGCAGAATAATAGCTAATTAACAACTCGAAAATCTATCATCTCAAAATGTGTGTTCTAATATTATAGTAGTAGTAAGTAACGTCAAATTATTTAAGTTTAATGGATCAATTTTTGAAATCCTAAATTTTGGTGTATATAGAAATACTAGCGTTGTGGTGTTCAGCTCCAAAAACAGCTCATACGTTTTTGAAAACCAACCTGTTTGGTTCTGTATTCAGACAGGTTCTGGATACAACTTGTTACACTTTTTTACTGTTTCCTATGTACACATATTAAGATATCTTATAACAAAATACCAAATAGTAATTTTTAATCTATAGATGCAAACTCCTCCACTACAACAGGTGGGATATTAATAGTCTGTTTGGGTAAGTTTTTTTTGGGTCACAAGTGTTTTTTTTTAAAAAAAAAAAATTGAGGTGTTTGGCCACGCTTTAGAAGGAAAAAGAAGCAAAAACGGTTTTTGAAAAGCAGAAAAAAAATAGTTTCTCTCTAAATGCAGTTTTCTAAAAAATATTTTTGAGAAAAATATACTTAGAAACAGTTTAAAAGTTTGATCAAATACTAATTATTACTCAAAATTACTTTACAAATTACTTATCATTAAAAATATTTTTTTAAAAAGTACGTAATTTTAGAAATTCGGCCAAACATGTTTATAATTGTTAGTTGCCAGATTAGAAATTCCTTTGATGTGTGACATTTATGTTCTTTCATCTCCAGCTGTAATGTATAATTTCATCATCACTGAAGTCACTGTCAACCAACGTACATATACATGGCCAATGAGAGATCCACACATTTCATTTAATTAACCTTAAAATAAAAACTCTACTCTTTCCAGTGTATAATTTGAATTTATGTTTTAATGTTAAGACAAATGCTGACTACCCCTTGAAAAATAAATAACTTACCAGGAATCAGAATTTAAAGAGGAAGAGGGAGAAAAATAAAACTAAAGAGAAATCTATGCAGTATTGTCCACCGGAAACACAGTTAACTTCATATACATTTAAAATAGCTATTTATCCGGTTTGGTGTTCGACACTTCTCTATTAATTGTGTGAAAAATATAAACAGACAATTATAACTATTATACTTTAACCCCAAGCAAATTGGATCAGCTATATGAATCCCGTGTCGATAACTCAATATCATATCTGAACATAATTATATTTTGCACTTCAGAAATTTCTTATCTACGAGAGTTAGTACTCAACAATATGATAGAAATAGGAAATTGTATTTCATTGACATTTCTAAAAAGCAAGCATACGCTCTTTCATCTCTTCACAGGATGCAGCTGCTCCCATCATTTCTTGTTCTATGAGGTTGGTAATGAAATGACACATAACGGAGCATCTAAAAGAAGAAAAGTACACAAATTCAAAGAAAAAATTTAGTCAGTAATATATGTACTATCACTAATTAACGAACCTTAAAAAGAGAAAAAAAAAACTATCATTAGTCTGACGACCATAGGAGAAGCTGCAACATTAACCACGCCTTGAATTACCAGTCGCGAAATTCCCAATTAGGTGTTCCTTGTAGGGGATTGTGACACTGGTATTTCAGCACATCCATCTCTCACTGAAGGCATTATCTGCATCGTTTGTCCCGTTTGTTGTTGTATTTCTTCAATCCTCCTAATAATTTCTCTAATATTTATCCTTTGCTGTGGATTACTCTCTACACAAGCTGCACCAATGTGAAGTAATTCTTTCATTTGACTCGTTGAATTTTTGGCACTTGCCATTATATCTGGATCATATAATTCAGCTTCTCTTCCCTCACCAATCGCAGATTTCACCCATTGCACTATATCAATCCCTCCTTTGCCGGTATTTAGATATTGGGACGGGAATTTCCCTGTTAATATCTCGAGAATGACAATTCCTAGGCAATAAACGTCGGATTTGGGTGTAACTTGGTGATTTTGTACTGCCTCTGAAGATTTGAATGCGATTAGTGCTTGAGCTGCGTGTGCATTGTTGATTAAGGTGTAGAATCCGTAACCTGTGAGTATTGGCTCGTGGTCTGTGTTTATAAGTATATTGCTCGATTTCAGATCGCCGTGAGGCAAATCAGAAGAAGAGAGTTCAGTGTGGAGATAACTTAATCCTTGTGCTATTCCTTGTACGATCTTTAAACGCACTGGCCAGGTGAGCTCAGCATGTGGGATTCCTCGATCGCCTGTGATCAATAATTAAGCATACAACAATCCATATAAGAAATACTTACATCACAAAATACTCATGCACAGGGCAACAACAACAACAATCCCAGTATAATTCTATAAATGGAGTCTAGGGAGTACAATGTGTATACAGCCTTACCCCTATCTGGAAGATAGAGAAAATATTTCCGATAGACCCCTGTAAACTACAAAAACGGAATACACATGGCTTCATATTTTTACGGAAAAGGATCTTGGGTCTTATTCAACCTAAGCTAAAAGTCAGGTCACGAGGTGAGGATAATCCTAAGATATATAAGGAGATAATAGTCCATTTCCGCAACCAAATCAGAACGTTTAATGGTCCCTACAACCAGGATTGGACATGCAGAGCTTGAACAACATATCATAGGGGCTCAATATTGGGTAAACCAAGAGCGAGGATTAGTCTGAATCTAACTCAACTCCAAAAATTAGCTCATGAAATGAGGATTATCCAAGATTAGAAATGAGTGTGTCTTTGATATCATGTTAAGGAAAAGGACATTGGGCCTAACTGAATCTCAAAAAGTCAGCTCATGAGGTGCGGATTGCCAGACCACATAGCAGATATCAGCTCATTCCCTCAATTAATGCGAGACATTTAACAAGTCATATAGATTTTTATCGTACACGGGTATATGTGTGCAGATAATGTTTAGGAGAGATGACTTAATACAGATAGAGCTAGGTACTTTACCATGAAGTAGGAACAGCAAGCTTCCTTTAGGAATGTACTCATATACAAACAGCTTCTCTTCCTTGCGATAATGATAAGCCAAAAGTGTTAGAATATTTTCATGTCTTAATCTTCCTAAACGCCTAACCTCTGCATCAAAACCATCTTTTCCAATCTTGTTCATTTCTTTAATCCTCTTTACAACTACTGTCAATCCATTTGCCATCATTGCCTTATAAGAAGAACCCAATGGTCCATTTCCTAACACTTCTGCTGCAGCTTTCATCAAATCTGCTAACCCAAACTCACCCTTATCATCATTTACCATTGTCAAATCGCCCACACGCTTCCCATTTATTGATCCTTTGCGTATCGAGCTACCCCTTCGACTTAATTCAAACGATTTCTTGCTATCACTCGAAATTCTCCTC